AGTCAAGTTTTGTTGTTGTTATTGTTGAGTTGTATCTGACTCTTCATGATCCCATGGACCATACTGTCTACGGAGTTTTCTTGGCAGAGATACTGGAGTGGTTTGCCATTTTCTTTTGTGGATTAAGGCAAGCAGAGGTTAAGTGCCTTGCCTGGGGTCACACAACCAATAAGTATCTAAGGTCAGGTATGAACTCAGCTTTTCCTGACTCCATGCCCAGTGCTCTATCCCCTGAACCATCTAGCTGCCTCAAGTTTAGTCATCATAATCACATAACATTTCAGTTTCTTCCCCTTCCCTTTTCTGTCTGTGCACTTTTGCATGCTCCTCTGTGCCTAATCAATCAAGCAACTGATCAATCAATACATATTTGTCAAACTCACACCCATGCTAGGTGCTGTGCTGGGTGTGGGGGTTACAGAGACCAAATTGATATTGGCCTTGCTGGCAAGGGGCTCCTATTCCCTTAAGGAAACAGCACTTTTTTACAGAAAATATATAAAATAAATACCAGGAAAATTGGGAGGAGGACGACATCATTGGCAGCTGAAGAGGATCCAGAAATGTCCCTGAGCAGCGCAGTACTGGCAGGGCTTTGAAGGAAATGAGAAGCTATGAGACATTGAAGTTAGGAGGGAGCCAATGGCAGCCATGAGGGGTGATGGGGGATGGAGTCTGATTTGTGAGGAATGCCCTTGTTGAGAGCTGGGAGAGGGTAACCTGAGTGAAAGAAGGTTGATGCTGTTTCTCAGAGACTTTAGATTACACTTTCTGATGACACCATCCAAGGTAGGAAGTGAAGGGAGAGGGGAGATTTGGAGATGGAGACAAGTGCAAGAAGAGACCAGAGATTCTCTACTCCAGGCTTCCTTGTCATTATCCTTTTCTCCTCTCTTGGTTCCATGTTGTTCCATAGCCATTTGCTTAGCACAGCATGTGCTTCCTCGGAGAGATAGGGTGAAAAATTATTCACCACAGTATATAGAACATACACGGGGTGATGAACCATATCCGGAATTGTAGCGTAATGACCAAGCCTGGTGTTCAGCACTGGTCATGGTGGATAGCGGAAGGACCCCAGCAGCTGGCTTGGGTTGTACCAGGGATGTTTAAGGAGGAGAAAGGTTGTTGGTGATGGTGGTGGTGTGCTTACCAGGATTGATGGACTTATTTAAAGTGGCCCAGTTTTATGTTTGATGCTGGTCTGGATCATACATAAAAGGAGAGTAAGACCTAAGTTTACCTCTGAGGCTTGGAAACATCGCAAGTTTGTGGAGAAGCTTCCCTGATGTGGACAACTTGCCTTTGTCTCTTTTGCAGTGTGCTTCCTTTTCCAACATGCATGGGGGCAGGGAAGAAGGGCAGTGAGTAGAGTGTGTGTGTGTGTGTGGCCCATTTCTCAGGTATCTAGTTTCTTCTTGTCAGTGCTTGGTACAGTCCCTAACACCACCTATATTTGGTATTCCAGCAAGGACTGAGTTCATGATGAAAAGGTCTTTCTGAGACAGTTTTGATTGTGTTTTCCATATAACATAAAAATGAACCCAGAAATTACAACCTCCATAATGGCAAGGACTCTCCCCTAGAATTAAACTACATGCTTTGAACATAAGAGGCATTTAATAAATGTGGCATTGAATTAACAGGTATACAATTAGGGCTGACAGCATTCTGAATAATTCCCCAACAGCCATATTAGTAATACTGTCCCTCATCTTCCCCTCACAGACTATTCTTTGAATTAGCCTCTGACTTTCCTGAGCTACTAATCCACTCTTACTGTCCAACTCGGAAACTTTCTCAAAAGTTCAATCCTGGCAGTGGCACCCACCAGCTCATCTTGCTGGCCCCCAGTTTCTTAGACTTTCTCTTAAGTTTTTGTCCTTTCCCTCAGACTCTCTCTGTAACCCCAAGTATATCTCACCCAGAATTCTTCTCTCCTTCTGGCCACCTTTGTCTTCTAATAACCAGCATTGACATAATCAATTTTAACTGTCCCACCTCACACAAAAGTACTCTCAATTACCATTATTCTGAAAAGGTGATTTTGTTAGTTTCCCTTTTGTTTGAGGCTGTTTGAGGCCTTTGGATTTTGGAGATCTCTGAATTGCAAAGCACTGAGATTTTTGGAAACTTGACTCTTCCTTATTTTCCTGACCACTATCATAAGATCATAAGTTTAGAATGGGAAGAGACCTTAGAGGTCATCAAATCAAACCACCTGATTTTACAGATGAGGAAACTGAGGCACAAAAGAATCTCATGACTTGTCAAGTGACACATAGCTAGTAAGTGTCCAATGCAGGATTTGAGTCAAGGTCTCCCCTATTCCAACTCCAGCGCCCTGTTCATTTTCCAATACTGCCTCATTTGGCTAAATGTTGACATGTGTTGAAGAGAGGTGATTCACTGGGGTTGTAATCATAGTGACACACATTTCAATTTGGGATGACCCATTTGAACGCTAAGCTTTCTTGCTATGAGTCTGCAGCAAAAGGTGGGGAGGGGCCAAAAGGAAAAAAAAAAACCTTAAAAGAAATATGGCTTGAGGGCTTGGACCTATGTCTAAAGGAACATAAGGTTCATGAAGGACAGGAAGGCCTCCCACCATGGGTGTTCACACAGGAAATACTTTCTTACTCCCTCAGTCAGCCCAGCCCTAGTGATACGTTGTGATAGTCTTGGTACAATTCTGTTCCTAACTCACAGCAGAAAAGGAAACTGTGAAAGCAATGGTTTTGGCAACCAGAAATATCCTGTACTCAACTGCTAGGAATCCCATTCTCATGTTTCAAAAGAAGCAACCATTTTGTAGGGTGGGTACACTCCTAAGCTGTGGTCACATTTTTGATTCCACCAACAGTCCTGACAATGAATCACAGCTCCTCTAAGGCAGCCAGCTCTTTACATGCCCACCATGGAATCAAGCTCTGTTTGGCCTCCTCTCATCAGCCACTGAGCCACTTTTTAAATTTAACCACTGGCTTTTAATTGGCAGAAACTGCCTGTGAATTTTTGTATGTAATACTTAACTATACATTAACTGTTTTAATGCCTAATAGTAAATATACTATAGGTCATTTAAAAAACAAAATTAATAACCCTAGTCTGTATCTACTTGTTTCGCTATTACCATTGCTACTGAAAAAAAGTCTCTAACTTTTGACCATTTAAAAATTTTCATTTCATTATATCAGCAATCTTTCAACAAGGAGGGGAGAAAAAGCCTAGAAGAGTGAGTATAAGCTACTTGAGGACACAGACTGTGATTCTGTCTTCTACTGTTCTACACGTGGAGGCCCAGGGCCTGTGTTGTGCAAACTCTAGAAAGCAGATGGATGAGGTTGGTGCAGTGGCACCTAGATGACCATATGCAAAGTATTCTTTCGGGGATGTCTTGACAATAGAATTAGGAACATCTGGTATCGACTTTGGCCATACCTCCTGAGGAGTCACCAGATGCACAAAATTAAGAAGGAATAATCTTTCTCTGACCAACGAGATGTCTAAATTGCTGTCAACTTGTATTCCTACACTCACTAGCACAGTCTAACATAGTAAGGACCTGACAGGAGAATGCCTTATTGCTGGTTGAAAGGTTATTTTGGCTAAGGGAAGGAGGAACGTGTGTGTGTGTGTGTGTGTGTGTGTGTGTGTGTGTGTGTGTGTGTAAGGTTTAGAGACACTTTGTTACCATGAAGCCATTTCAGTCATTTGAATGCCTTAGTATTTGAGTTCATTTATGTTTTGTACCTTTGAGTTCCTATGTATTGCAGTGATTTCTAGAGGACAATGAGCCTAGAGCAATTTTCCTAGTTATAAGGCACTTCCATTCTCATAAAGACTTAATAAATTTGAGAAACTGTAATGCTGAAGGCTTGCTTCTCCCTTCACTGTTACAGATATCGATAAACTTTCCATGTTTGTGTTTTATGCGTATTTCCTCCGAGGCCTGTTTAAGAATGCCTGCTCTATGTAGCTTCAAGAACCCTACTGTACCCAGTCTCACTTCTCCAGCACTTATTCACCTCTGTTCAGTGCATAGTGGTTTTCAAAGTTCTAGGCTGTTTTCTTTTCTATGCCAAGGTTGAGGCAGGTGTTTCACTTTGATGGCTAAAAAAAGAGGTCAATTGAACAACACTTTTGCAAACCTAATTTGGAAGAAATATTGCTACATGCTTTGTTTGGGTAGTGTCCTCAGGCATAGGAATGAGGATGAATTTTAATAGGCATCTGACTGTATTTGCAGTTTCCTGTGAACGCTGGCACCTACCAGCCCACATCCTGCCAACCTCCACTTAGAGAATGCAATCTGTCTGTCTGTCCGCTGCACGGCTCTGCTGTCCTGACCTTTGAAGTGGCCTCTCAGGACAGCACATTCCTTTCATTTGGCTAGGGTGCGCGTAATGAAATGGCCATTTCCTCCTGACTGCTAGCTACTGGGGAACCTTCCGAATAATTGTCTTTGGCTTCCCGTAAACCTACAGCCAGAGACATATTTGAATTTTTCCCCTTGCCACTTGCAAATCCTATTTTTATGTATAGCCAAGGGCCCTTAACTTTCAGCATGTCTTCTACTGGGGGACTGGTGTCTAAGGGTCCTGTAACGAGGCCAGATCTGGCCTCTGTAATGTTATTTGTAATGAGAAATCTAAACAGGGAATAGCAGTGAGGCATGACTGGAATGTGTTTCCACTGGAGAAGCCAGTGTTGAGAAAAAGTCTAAGCAAAGCCATGTCCAGAAGGCCCTTTCAGCTGGCCAAGACGGAAGACTAATGTTATTGTGTGTTGGCTGTCAAGCTGCCAGCCCTCCCTCACCGATTTGTTTTCTCTTATGTTCTCCCTCCCTTTCCCCTGTCCTCTTCCTCTGCCTTTTTCTCCCTCCCTCCCTCTCCCTCTTCTCTCTCCCTCTCCCCCTTCTCTCTCTCTCTCTCTCTCTCTCTCTCTCTCCCTCTCTCTCCCTCTCTCTCTCTCCCTCTCTCCCCTGACTGTTTGCTCAGGTGGACAGTGACACCATTTGGAATGAGCTGCACTCAGCTGCTGCTGCACGCATGGCTGTTGGCTGTGTCATCGAGCTGGCTTCCAAAGTGGTCTCAGGAGAGCTGAAGGTGAGGTCTGGGTTACATTATGTGTGGGAAATTCAGAGGAGAAGCTGAAAGGGATGCTTTTGCATTTGGGGCTGGTGGAGAGTGTGGTGTGGTCAGCGAGGGCTTGGGGAGCTGTGGCCAACAATTTGGACACCAAGGTGTGGCCACCTCAAGAATTTTCTTCAGGGGTTGGCTGATGGCTCTGCTCAAAGCTTGAAGCTTGCTGGGGAGAGCTGCTCCCTTGGAATGCTCGCTTTTCTTTTTGTTCTTTTTTGAACACAGAAATGATTAGACAGTGATGGTCCAGGTTAAAATTACCCAGAGTGTATACATATCTGGCAGGCAATTCTGGAATTCACTTTTGAAGGCATTTTAAAAATATGATTATTGAGTTGTATACATAACCACAGAATGCCACCCAGAGAGAGCAAAGGTAAATAGCAGGCAGCTTGGCCATCCAGGGACGGGGGAATTGTTGATGAAGAGGGTAATGGTCCAGAGGATGTTTTTCCATGAAACGACTTCAAACAGGGACTGAGCTTTATTGTTTTTTTGCTTTTATGGTCACTTCTTTTCTCCATCATCTGAAAAGAACAATGCACAAGCCCCCACAGTTTCTCCAGTCTAAACAATTTATAAAAACCACAGACCTGACAGAGCCTGAGGTTTTATTTGGTATTTTAGCTGAGCCCTTTCAAGGTGAGCCATGTGCATGAAGGGGGAGGGCTCTGGACCCAACTCAATTATGTTGTTGTGGGCGTGGCTTTGGGGGTACACTGGGATGTGGACTTCATAAGTCAAGATGTAACAACTGATTGAGGCTTGTTACTAATTGTATGTGGGGGGGGTTGTATATATGTAGGATCACATGTTTTAGGACCTACATTCACTCATCTTTTTTTTTTTAATCACTGATGGAATTAGATGAAGATTAGTTCTTTTCAAGTGTTGTGAATGGATATGGCATTAGACTTGGAGGGAACCAGGGTTCAGATCTTACCTGAAACTAAATACCCGGGTGCCATTGGGCAAGTCACTTCATGTCTTTTGGCCTCAGTTTCTTCCTAAGTAAAATGTGGATGATAATAGGACCTTACTCACAGGATTGTTGGAAGGGCTCAAATAAGATAAGTTCTGTTAAACACTTTGCCAACCTTAAAGCGCTATGTCAGTGTGAATTCCTATAATGGTGGGTGGCCGCTCTGCCTGTGATGAGCGTGAGGCAGCCACGCCCTCCATCACAGGCCTTGATGTCGCTCTCAGAGGACGTGCAGGAGTTGACTGCCTCATTTAAGCGTGGCCACATACAAAAGCTCTGCTGCGCTTTCTGTGCACGTGATGGCACCCATTATTCCCTCCTGCTTCAAACTGCTCCTTTCAGGGTATTGATGAGATCCTTCAGGGAGGATTTCCAGTCATTGTTTATCAACACTGAGGAATAATTAGGAAAAGTAGAAAGGGCAGCCAGTGAAGGTACCAGCTGCAGCCCCAAGCAGCATTTCCTCCTGACCCTTGTGATGAAGAGGTTTTCTCAAAGAATATTGGACAAGATCAAACTCAAAAGACTCTGGATGACAATGACATCCAGCCCTGATTTTCAAACATCCAGAGAGTCCTGCCCACCACTGACTCATGTGGTTTGTCAATGGTGAATATAGAAGGTGGTCAGAAGAAATAAGGTGGCCTTTCCCTTTTTAAATTTCAATTTAGCAAGCATCCATGCAATGCCTAGAAATTTCCAAACACTGTCCTAGGCACTGGAGACACAAAGGCAGAAACAAACCAATTTTCATCGTCTAGAAGTTCACTGTCTATTGAAGGAATAGCATGGACACAGAAAAGGAAATAAAAATACACCCATACACACACACACAGAGTAATTTCATGGAGCTGAAGGAGTACCAAGTCCGATGTTGGGGTGGGGCAAGTGACTTAGGAAAGGTTTTATCTAGGAGGATGCCCTGAAACAGAGCTAAGGATTCTCACCTCAGAGGTGAGGAGGGATGGCACACCAGCTATGGAGAACAGCCTGGTAAAAGGAGTGGAAGTGCTATAAAACATGATGAGCAGGCAGACTTCGGAAAAATCTGGAAAGACTTGTATGGTCAGATGATGAGTGAAGTGAGCAGATCCAGGATAACAGATCTAAGACATCTCCAAAGGTCTCGTGATGGAAACTGCTATCCACATCGGAAGAAAGAACTATGGAGTTTGAATGCAGATCGAAGCATACCATTTGCTCTTTTTTTTCCTTCTGTTTTGTTTTGTTTCCTCTTTCTGGTGGTTCCTTCTACTGGTTCTAATTCGTACTCACAACATGACTAATGTGAAAATATGTTTAATAGGAATGTATATATATAGCCTATATCAGATTGTGCGCCGTCTTGGGGAGGGAGGTAGGGAGGGAGGGAGAGAAAAATTTAAAACGCAAAAGCCTATGGAAGTAGTTCTTGATAAAACAAAATAAATTAATTTTTAAAAAAGGAGTGGAAGTGGGAGACAGAACATCATGAGCAAGAAATGGCAAGTAGGACAGTTTGGATGGAGTATAGAGGGAACGTGGGAAATTAGTCCGAGGAAAGAGCTTAAATGTGAAACGAGAGTCTGTATGTTATCCTGGAAGCAGTAGGAAGCCACAGAAGGTTTTTGAGCAGGGAAGGTTAATCGTTAAATCAGAAATGTTCAGGAGGAGAATGTCTGAGGTGTCATGGAGTTAGGGCTCAGCAGGCTTCTGTTCAGTTGTGCCTCTAGCACTTACTAGCTGCATAACCCTCGATCCACGTCTTCTTATTCTTTCTTTCTTTATTTGCAATTTTGCAAGAGTTTTAACCTCACCAAAGCACAAGGACTTTCCCAGAGTAGGTGCTTCATTAGTCTTGATTGAATTGAATTAGCACAGGAGCAAGCTTTCTCAGATGAATGCCTCCTTCTAGACTGTGCGTCCAAGGAGTAGGGAACAGGCGTGATCACGGCCTTCCGGGAGCAAACCACCTAGAATGGCCAGTGTCAACAATGGGCAGCCTTAGAGAGGACACACTGACAGACAGACAGCTGTGCAAACACTCACAAGCTATTTACTCGAAGCACAACTGGGAAGGCAAAACTACCCTCCATTACCCACACTGGAGGATCCCAACAAGGGAAGAGGGGCACAATCATCTATGCTGAGCTGGGAAATCCATTGCAAGGATAATGATGATTTTTTGCAATGTTTTAACTTTTTAGCGATTCATTACAAAATCTAATGTCAAAGTATGTGAATATTCCTTGAGCTCATGCTCAAGTGTGGAGCAGAAGAAATGGTGCTTAGGAGGGGGGCGAAAGGACACAATATGGTGCACAATCACAGGATTATGGAATTTCATAGCTGGTAGAAGTCATTTTGTCCCATCCAGTTAGACCTGAACAAGAATCCTTCTGATAAATAATTTGTAGTTAATCAATCAATCAACATTTTAAGGGTCTGAAGTATTTTAGACTCTCTTCCAGATGTTCAGGATGCAGAAACAAAATAATAAGGATAATAAGAATAAGAAAAAGTTCTTAAAGAACTTAAAATCTATAGAAGGATACAACATATATACATCATCACAAAATAAATACAAGGTAAATTTGAGAGGAAGGCCATTCCCCAGTTGATGGGTATTCCGTTAATTTCCAATTTTTTGTCATCACAAAGAGAGCTACTATAAATATTTTTGTACATGTAAGTCCTTTTCTGTTTTTTTTAATCTCTTTAGGATACAGACCCATTAATGGTATTAAAGTATTTTCTTTCAATTATTCATTCAACAAGCATCTATTGTGTCTGCTACTGTGTACTAGGTACTTTGCTCGGTTATGGTAATAAAAATAAAACAATAAATAAAAACAAAAAATAAAACAAACAAACAAACAAACAAAAAAAAACCAAGACAAATGCTGCCCTCAAGGAACTAAAATCTTACAAAATGAGAATAAAAGGAACTTGAGTAAATAAACATGAATGCATGTAAAGCAAATAAAAATAATTGGAATTGAAGAACTCTATTGAGGGGAACTCATGATCTCCCCAGATAACCCATGCCACTCTTGGGTAATTTAAATGCTTAGGAAGTTATTTTTATTTTTTTTATTCTGCCCTACCACCCTACCACAAGTCTAGATTGACTTCCCTGCAGCTTTCTTCTTTACTCCTATTTCTAACAAAATGGAACAAGCTTAATATGTCTTTCATCATCATCATCATCATCATCATCATCTTCTTCTTCATCATCATCCTCATTATTACCATCATCATTTTCTTCATCTTCATCACCATCATCATCATCCTCAATTTTGCTTGAGTCCTCTTCCAGCTACGAATTTTGTGAGGACAATGATTGTCTCTTATCTAAAATTCATGCTACCTCCAATGTCTCCACACAATGGGACTCTGCAAATATGCTTTAAAAGAACGGCAGCAACAACAACAAAAAATAGCCCATGCATTCCAAAACTTTGCATTGGGGATTAGGGCAACTACTTAGGAAAAGAAAATAAAAAAGTTAATATTTTCCCTGTGAAAATTTATGAAATATGTGAACAAAAATGTTCTTAATCCTGGCCCAATGCCTCATAATAGCCAGGTGGGAAGAGCAGCATGGCTCCTCCCACCAGTTGACTATGATTCTTTGGGTAAGATGGAGCCTATGAAGCTTGACCACCTGCCTTCCAGAGAGCAACACTGTCCTCTGATCTGCTGATGAACCCTAGCCTCCCCCACCACCTCCCCTGGGTCCTGCCATCTTAATGTGCTCTTTGAGCTTCTGGGCCTTTCCATCATCACTGCAGCTGAACTTCCCTTGATGGATTGTCTTTGTTAAAGAGTGTGAGCTCCTCGAGAGTAGAGAATGTCTTCCTTTTCTAGTTGTATCTCCAGCATTTAGTGCAGTTCCTGGCACATAGTAAGCATTTAATAAATGCTTGTTGATTGACTGATAATGTGTCATGGGCAGGCCATTTCACCTTAACGAACCTCAGTTTCTTTCTCTATAAAATGA